TCCGGCCTTTCCCTTCTCCCTCAAGGAGGCGCGAGATTACCCTCAGCGCCTCCTAGTGGCGCTCCGTGGCAGCTCAGGGCGGTTTGCAGAATTTCTGCTGGAGCCCGACAAAGGAGAACCAGGGGTCCTTCCAAGGAGCCCTCATCTCTTCCAGGAGACCTGGGAGTGGGGGCCAAAGCTTTTGAAGGCCCCTCCGGGCCCTCCACCTCCACTTCCTTCCTCAGACTTCCCTGGCTGTAAATATTTCTGCCGCTCGGAGCTCCTCTGACGAAGGCCTCGGTGTTAATTTGTTAAATCCACATCAAGGTCCTGGGGACCCGCTGTTTATTTTTGTGAACGTGTTGGCAGAGATCACATTGGAAGGGGGGAGAGGGGCTGCTTATTTGGTCAGAATAAATGCTAATTAATAAAAGTTATTTATTTGGGTTGGAGCTCGCCACAGCCCCGGGGTCAGGCGCAAACTGACTTTTTGAAGCAAAAACAAACAGAGAGCGTCTCTCAACAGCTTGAGAAAGGCAGAAACGAAGAGGCAGGGTTTATTTGTCTTAGGAAGAATTTGCAGTTAATTCCCTCCAGACTGTTTAGACCCTTAAATTACACGGAATAAGAAAAACCCTGGGTGCAGGGGAGAGGAGCCAGGAACACTCGATCAGTTGGCCGAGAGCAGAGTTTTTAAATGTCTTTGGCCCGCATTCAGCCAAATAAATGGTACGTGTGAAATAATTTAATGGCAGAAAACTGTGCACAAGTCATTTTTTTTTTGTATCGTAATGTAATCGGGGACGAAGTAATTTGGTTTTAAGGGAGAGAGAGCGTGGCAGGCCTCCCCCCCAACCCCCACCTGAAGACGTGTCTCTCTCTCCCCCGATCCAGCCCTGTAATGGCAATGGCACCAGGGCAGCTCATGTAAACGCAGGCAGGTTTGGGCTGAAGAAAAGTGGGACTTTTACTGAACAAAAGGAGATTTGGGGCACAGCCTGACTTGGAAAGAGCCAGGGTCCCAGCAATCGCTGGCTGGAGGCTTAGTGAGCATTTCTTTCTTTTCCAAGTGCTTGGAAGTCCCAGCTTGGAGCCCCCTCCCTGGGGGACACACGCGCCTGCCGCAATTGGCGTCTCAGAAAGGGACGTGGGAGCTTCAGGTCACAAATATCCAGCACATCCACTGGGAAGCAGAGGCCAGCGCGTGGGTTCGAGTCCTGGGCCACCTGCAGGAAGCTGCTTGAGGTGTCCTCAACCTCGGCGGCTTCTCAGCCTCTGCCTGCAGCGGGGACCAAAGGGCCTGGGGAGAAACACCTTTGACCTCTGGCACGAAGCTGCTTGCACAGAAGCAACAATGCTAAGGACAGTGACCATTTATGGAGCAATTCCTCTGCTCTGGGCACTGCAGCGAGTTAAACTCTGCTCCTCATAGGAACTTCATGGGACCTCGGGCAAGCCATTGTCCCTCACGGCTCCCAGAGGGGAGCTCTTCCTTTGGAACAAAGCGGTGCCGATGGACCAATGGACAGATATACTTACGTCTTCCCCCACCTCTCCCCGCCCGCCAGGCCAGGCTGGAGATCCAGGGGCATTTCCACACCAGTGAGGTGCCGTGACCCTGCAGGCCTCCTAGAGCCAGGACTGAGATGGCAACAGACCCCTGTGTCACCTTCCCTAGGAGCAAGGTGGGCGAGGGAAGAGACCCCCACTGCCGGGGCCGGCGGAGCCTTCTGACCAGCAGGAATTCCAATCCAGAGGGACAACCTTGGCCTCAGTTTCCCGTGTGTGCAGTGGGGTAACACCTCCTAGGGCGGGGGCAGAGATTCGGTGGGTGGCAGCATGGGCGACGCTTGGCACCGCTCGTGGGCCGAACCAGCTTCTTCCGAGCCTTGCCCCATTGGCGCTGCCATGATGTGACCCCGGAGACAGCGGACCCCAGACCCGCGAGGAGACCAGCTGGGGTTGGTGTGGGAGGCCTGGGGTTGCCGGGGGGCCCGGCGCTAAATGCCTTTGCGTGAGGGTTTCGGCTCCAAGTAACCACACAGTTTAACTGGTGAAAGAGCCGAGTTTCTTCCGGCGCCCACTTGGCGGGGCCAAGGCTGCAAAATGGTTTTCATTTAAACGCCCTCCGTTTTGAATTGCTCAGAAACTTCTCGAAAAAGTCTCCTTTTTTGGCTGAAATGCCTCCTGCATTGGGTGTGTGCCCAAACAGCGTTGCCTGGAGGGGGCGGAAATCGTCTCTGGGATGGCTGGTGTTCCAGAAACTTCTGTCCTGCTTTCGGGCTATTGATTGCCACCCGGTTTTCAGCTCGTGGGCCCTTGTTTTTGGTTTAGCTTTCTTGCTGCTCCAGGGGACAGGGATGTGGGGCAGAGAGACATTCGCAGGCACCAGACATTCTCATCCATCTTCGCCTTTTCTTGGAGGAGAGGGGTGAGGAGAGAAGGCTGGAGCCCGGCCAGGGGACAAGGCGGCTCCCTTGGGGCCACTCGTGTTCCCGGCCACCCCCCGCCCCCACATGTGACTCCTGCAGTTTGCAATCGTCCTGGACGTCCTGCTAGACCAGCACCGTGAGCACGGTGAACGAGATAATTCTTTGGTGTGCGGGTCTGTCCTCATCCTGTGTATCAGCGCCCAAGCCTCTACCCGTTCAACCCCCGTAGCACCTCCCACCCCCAGTCCTGACCATCAGAAATGTCTCCAGGGAGCTTGGGTGGCTCAGTGGGTTGAGCCTCTGCCTTCGGCTCAGGTCATGATCTCAAGGTCCTGGGATCAAGTCCCGTATCGGGCTCTCTGCTCTGCAGGGAGCCTGCTTCCTCTTCTCTCTCTGCCTGCCTCTCTGCCTACTTGTGATCTCTGTCTGTCAAATAAATAAATAAAATCTTAAAAAAAAAGAAAGAAAGAAAGAAAGAAAGAAAGAAAGAAAGAAGAAAAAAATGTCTCCAGACACTGTCGGGTGTCCCCTGGAGGCAAGATCGTCCTCCACTGAGAACTACAACTACCCATCCAAACCCAGCTGTAAGGTCACCTTTTCCCAGGCACTGCCCTGTGCAGGACCACCTTCGCCTCCCACATTCAGTATCCCCCAGTCTCATGGAAAGCTTCATCCTCAAATCCAATCCGTTGGTTGCTCGAGAGTCAATAAATCCTGCTAACGTGGGAGCATCTTTGAAAACAGGGATCGAGTGGTATTCATTGTTGGGCCTGGAATATTCTAGAAGCTCGGGAGAACAAATACCCAGCATTGTGCATGTTAAGGGAACGTGTAACTGGGAAAGCAAAAATACAAGGTGTGGACTTAACTCCAAAAGGTTGACAGTATGTTCTGTGGTCCAAACTGAGCAAAACAGGCCTTCCCATGCACCACTGGTGGGAAGCCTTATGGGGGACTCTGGCCACCTCTAGCATTTTTCTCACTGGCCGAGCAATCCTACTTCTAGGAATCTGTCCCAAATATGCGCTGGCAAAAAATAGAAAATCATGTCTGCGTGTGGTTCTTCGTCGTGGCATTCTTTTAGTGGCAAAAGACTGGAAATGCGCCAGGTGCCTGTCAATAGGGCTCCAGGGGGATAAACCATGGAGCGGTCCCCCAGCCCAGTGCTTGGGGAGTGTGGATGATTTCTGTGCACTGCATGGAGGGATCCCTGGCTTCTCCTGCTAAGTGGGAAAAAGTGAGGTGTGGAGCTATATGTGCTATACTACTTTTTGATAGACGAGAGAAAATATTATACATGTTTTATTATATTTGCAAAAAGCCATGCTGGAAGGATAAAACAAAAACTGCTTTAAAAAATAAGTTCCGGGGCACCTGGGTGGCTCAGTCGGTTAAGCATCTGCCTTCGGCTTAGTTCATGATCCCAGAGTCCTGGGATCGAGTACCGTGTCGGGCCCCCTGCTCAGCAGGAGTCTGCTTCTCCCTCTGACCCTCCCTCGCGCTAGTGACCTCTCTTTCTCTCTTTCTCTTTCTCTCCCTCTCCCACTCTTGAATAAATAAATAAAATCTTAGAAAATAAAAATAAAAAATAAGTTCGCCAGGTGGAGGGAGAGAACATGAGAGAAAATAGAGTGTGGGGGAACAATCCACAGAAAGAGGGTTATGTTTGTCGTGCCAAGGCAGAATGATGTCTGGAATATTATCGAGGAACGGGCAAGTTGAAGCACCAGGGTGTTCAGCGTGATCTCATGCTTGTAAATTTTTTTAAATATACATTTGTCATCTCGTAAAGTGTGGGGGGTGGAGCTGGGGAGAGGGGAGTGTTTTGTTTTACTGCTGACCCTTCTCTGGTATTTGAATCTGTTACTGTGACAAGCAGTGACATTACTTGGTTATTAAAATATACATTTTTAATAAAATCAGAGGCCCAAGGAAGTGCTGAGTTTGGTGGTGTTGTGTGTGTAGGGGAGGTGAGTGTAGCAGGGGATCTTAGGTGGTCAGGAGGGCTTCCTGGAGGAGTAGGCAATGAACTGGGCCCTTGCGGAAAAACAGTCAAGTCCAGTTCCACCCCTCAATAAAATGGAAATGTGGCCATAATGGCTGTTCACCCCCTGGTCATTCCCACCTCTTCTGCGTTGCCTCTAATGCCTTCTCTCCCTCCCTCCGATCTGATTGGAAAATTCCTGTACATCCATCAAAACCCATTTCAAGCACCACCTCCTCTGAGGAGCCTTCCCTGATTGTCTCCCCATAGCTGGCCAGAGCTGAGTATCCTCCTGCACCCTGGTGTTCCCTTGGTCCCACATCACTGGGCCTCTTATTCTGGGGCCTACCTCCCTGTCTGCTCCAGCTCTTTCCAGTACCCGGCACGGCCCCTACCACACAGTAGCTGCTCAGTTAATGTGTGTGGAAGGGATGAAGGAAGGTGTGAACTCCAGGGATCTGCTCCTGCTCTCGGGGCCGGACCGTCCATCCAGCAGTGGGGGAGACGCGAGGAGAGCACACAGTGCAAATTGCCAAGCTAATGCCCGAGTCGTGACCCCCTGGGTGGCCTTCCCACCCACCTGCTGACCCTTGGCCCCTCCGCAGGTGAATGTCCCAGCCCGGGGCGCGGCGCCGCCGCCAAGCGGAAGAAGAAGCAGCGGCGGAACCGCACCACGTTCAACAGCAGCCAGCTGCAGGCGCTGGAGCGCGTGTTCGAGCGCACGCACTACCCCGACGCCTTTGTGCGCGAGGAGCTGGCCCGACGCGTCAACCTCAGCGAGGCGCGTGTGCAGGTGAGCAATGCGCACCTGGCGGGGGGACGGGTAGCCCACCGTGGGAGCGCGCAGCCACCTCTCCCTCGGGGCTCCGGAGCCTCTGTGGAGGGGAGGCCTTTAAGAGCAGGAGCATCCGAGGCTGGGAGGACTCAGGTTCAGATCCAAGCCCTGCCACTCACCAGCGGTGTGGCCTTGAGCAGCTTACTTAACCTCTCTGTGTTCAAGGTGCCTTCCTGGAAAGTGAGGACCACGTGGGTCTCTTTTATAGTGTTCTTAGGAGAATTAAAGGAGTTAACAGATTTGCCAAGCGCTTACTTAGAGCAGTGCCTGGCGTGAAAGGTTTTGATAAAAAAAAAGTCGCGTTAAAGTGTTAAGGGCTGCTCTGTGCCAGCTCTGGGCCCAGTGCTCAGCACGCCCCTCTCCAGTTACAACCTTGTAACAGCGAAGTGCTCGTGCCCTCGTTCCTCCGTGCGTTCCCTCGCCCTTTCTCCCACGCTCACTTACCCCGCGGTAGAGTCATCCCCGTTTTATAGATGAGGAAACAGAGGCCCAGACAGGGGAAGCTGCCAGCCCACAGCTGGTGGCAGAGCGGCCACGCACTGCAACCAAAAGGACGTGGGTCCCCTTTGCCTCCTGCTGCACGCGGTTCAACACCCCTCCCCTGCCCCCCAGGTCTGGTTTCAGAACCGCCGGGCCAAGTTCCGCCGAAACGAGAGGGCCATGCTGGCCAACCGCTCCGCCTCCCTGCTCAAGTCCTACAGCCAGGAGGCCGCCATCGAGCAGCCCGTGGCTCCCCGGCCCACCGCCCTGAGTCCCGATTATCTTTCCTGGACAGCCTCGTCCCCCTACAGGTGAGAGCAGGAACCCCGGTCCAGGAGGGGGCGGAGCCCTAGGAGTCCCCGCCCCCTCCCAGGATCCGCACAAGCTATGATCCGTGCCCAGGCGCGGCTGAAGCCCGGGTCTGCGGAGTAGTGCGTGGGCCAGTGTGTGTGCGCTCATGAGTGTGGGTGTGTGTGCGAGAGTTGCATGATTGTGAGCACATGTGCACACGAGTGCTTGTGTGAGGCGCTCTGCTGGGGCCCTGGTCTTGTGCGAAGCGAGATCCAGCAGGTGGGCCCGTGGAGTCAGAATCCCTGTGATGCCCATGGTGGCCAGCTCTCCCGCCCTGTCCTTACCTAGGGAGACCCACCCAGAGGCATTCTTCTGAACAGGTGTGTGTTTCCTCCTCCCCCATCCCGCTGTGCGCCTGGCCCTGCCGGGGCACTGAGGGTGAGCAGGACCCAGGGAGGCTGCTCCGTGTCCGGTGGGGTCTGTGCTTGTTTCTGACTCCTCCCCAGAGCCTGCATCCCCAGCCATGCCCCGCCCTGGGGGGAGGGCTTCCCAGGAGCGTCAAGGGAGGAGGCGAGACAGAAGGACCAGAGGCTGGGGTCCAGGCCTGGCAGCCGGAAGTGGTCAGTTGGAAGTGGTCAGAGCCACATGTCCTTGTGCCTTCTGTCGCCCCCCAGCACGGTGCCACCCTACAGCCCTGGAGGCCCAGGCCCTGCGACCCAAGGAGTCAACATGGCCAACAGTATCGCCAGCCTCCGTCTCAAGGCCAAGGAGTTCAGCCTGCACCACAGCCAGGTGCCCACGGTGAACTGATGACCGGCCCCCCAGGACCCCGCTGCCTCCCTGGTCTAACAACAGCCAAGAGGGCAGACATGAAAGTGACCTTGTCCTGTCCGCTGTCTCTAGGGCAGGCTGATTGGGCTCTCCTGGCCCCTCTCTCCAGTCCAGACTGCTGGGCCCAAGAGGCTGCTGAGATGCTGGGAGCCCTTTGTCTACAGCCGTGGGAGACCTTGGCCCATGACCTTTGGAGGGGTTGGGCCAGAGATGGAGAAGGAGCCCACCAAGGACTACATTTATTTTGTGTATTAAAACCGAAAAGCTTTTTTCTTTAAGAAATAAAAACAAAACAAAACAAACAAACAAAAAAAACTTTAAGCCCCCAAAAGTTTGAGGGAAGGCGGATAAGGTCAGCAAAGCAATTGAGTGGTTGGCCTTCTGGGGCCCTGCTCTGGCCTGCAGCCCTCAAGAGGCCTGCCCTGGGCCCAGCTCAGACCAGCCACCATCCCAAAGCCAGATGCCCTCATGTCTGAGCCTTCTCATGAATGAATCCATCATCCAGCAGAGCCCCACGGGTGGGGAGTCGGGTAGGAGGACAGAGGCCTGCCCTGGACCCCAATGGGCACCTAGGTGTTTGGGAGAAACCCTGCTGTGTGACTCTGGGCAGATCCCTTCCCTGTCTGGGCAGAGAGTGTCCCCTCTGACCTATGGTTGGGGGCAGGGTGGGTGACCATGGATCCCTGGGCTGGCCGGACTGTGGGTGGAGGGCAGATGCTGGAATTAAGTCTCTTATCTCTGGGCATGCAGAAGGTGTGGGACACTCCTGGGGCCTAGGTAAATGACCTGGGAAGTAGGGGTGCATAGTAGAGGTCCCATGCAGCTTCGAAGGACAGAGGAGTGGTCCTAACAGCCAAGGACACTGGAAGACCTTATCCAAGTGCACCCACCTTTTTGCAGATGATACCTGCGGGTGACAGAGGACACACATACCACCAGCTAATGACATGACTTGGCAGGAAACCAGGGTGAAGGGAGTGGTTGTAGCCAGAAGGCAGCCCCTTCTGCCCGGCCCCCTCCAGCCTCTTCTGCGGGGCATAGCCTCCGGGGAAGTTCGGAGTCATTTCTGTCAATAGTGACTTCAACCAGTCCCCAGCAAGTAGCACAGCACTCCCTGACCCCCAGAGGGCATAAAGATGACCAGCCCCTCCTGGTGATGGCCCTCGTTGTGACACAGTGGTCACACCCCGATGCAGCCAATCAGAGGGACCTCTTCTCCCATAGTCTGCCCTGCCCACACTGTAGCAAATGCCCCAGGTGCCAGCTGTCCCCCGCCCCATGGGCTACATCTTCTAGGTGACCTCAAACAGGTCAAAGCCTCGTAACAATCTTTATGTGGGAGACAATCCCCATTTCTGTGTTAGAAGGTATGCTAAGGATATGTCTGAGTGAGGGGAGGACCCCTCCCCATTCTCCCGCATTCACCCCGAGACCTTCTCCCCAGTACTTCGTCTGGGATTTCACCGTGGATACTGGGTTCTTGCTCATTGAGCGCTGCTCATTTCCAAGGTGCACACAAGCCCCAGGACACTCACCATGTGACTTTCTCGTGGCTGGACAGTCGGAACTCTTGTCGGCCGGAGAGTGTGGGGCACCGATGAGGGTGAGGGAGGTACAGGCTCTGGCTGAAGGCATGGGGAGGGGGAATTCTGCTGTCTTGCTCAGCTTGGCCTCTGCCTTGGCTCAGTGATTTCTGGGCCTCCATTTACTGTTCATTCACTGAACAAATAGGACACACTTGCTGTGAGCCAGGGCCCTGAGAGAGCAGAGAACTGACATGGGGTCCCTTGCTGCAGAGGCCACATGCAACACACGGAGCCCCAAACTTGGTCTGAGGCATCTGTGCAGTCTTCCTGGAAGAGGCGTCCTGGAAGGACGAAGGGTTGGCCAGGCAAGGAGAGTGGGGGAGAACAGTGCTTCTGGCTAAGGGAACAGCATGTGTGAAGGCCCTGCGGCAAGACAAAAGCTATCTTTTGGGGCCAGTGGGGACAGTTCCAGGGCTGGATCTCCCAGTGTGCGATGAAGGTGGAGAGAATCTGGCTCAGATGGGGCGGTGTGGCCATATCTAGAAGTCTGGATGTCATCCTGGCAGTGGGGAGCCACGGAGGGGATTGGCTTGGTGGAGGGACACCCCCGCCCCCGGGTTCTGTATGGAGAAGTGGCCATAGGACTAAGAGTGGAGGCAGGAAGGGCTCTGCAGAGGCCAGGGCAGCTGTCCAGAGAGGAGTGGCAGCAGCCTGGACCCGATGTGGGCTGATCTGGGAGGTGTTCCAAGCACATCGGGGGCAGGGGTTAAGGACAGGATGATGGGATGAGGGAGATGAGGGAAGCCAGGTGGTGGCCAGGATTTGGCTTAGGCACACGGAGGTGCCCGGGAGGAAGAAGATCCTGGAAGCAGGACCTGCCTTGTAGAGGTGTCGGGAAGATGCTGGCCTGCCCTTCCACCCAGACCAGAGCTGGGGGCCATCATGGCCCAAGCAGCCTCCTCCCTTATGGGCTGACTATTCCTGCCCCCACCCAAGGAATCTGCACCAGAGAAGGCCGTTGGCCCATGGGGGGCCAGAGCAGTGCCCTCTTGGCAGCCAGGCGGGCCTCTATCCTCCACAGGAGCACTTAAGCGAAAGCAAGTGACAGGCAGCCCAGCTACTGGCCCGAGCTCAGCGCTCAGATGGAACCACGGCGGTCTCGCTATTTCCCATCCAAAGAGAGGGTGCCATGAAGCATCGCCAGGTCGGGGCGGCCCGCGGCAGAGATGGGGTCACACTGGGTAGAAGTTGGGGCCTAGAAGGTGGCTCCCAAGAACACCAGCTTCACAAAAACCTGGGGGCCTGTTTCCCACGGAGGCGCTGGCCCTACCATGGGACCGCAAGGATGTCAACGTCACTTCCTCCCAAGCACGGTAGAGAAAACAAACCGGCTTAACCGTTTACACGTGCTGCTCCAGGGACCAGAGGGAGGGGGCACGACAGCCTCCCTGGATGAGGCTGTCGCTAGTGTCCCCCTAATTGCAGGGCTGTGTGGGCAGCCCCCTGGGCACCCGTCCCGGGATAGAATTTTCCATGAGGATAAGATTCCCAAGGCCCCATCCCCTGCTGTGAGAACTTGGAATCTTTCTCCGAATCCCTCTGCTCATTTGGCAGGCAGGCTTGGGAGAAGACATTGCATAACTTCACTTCTATTTTTTGTTGTTGTTGTTTGAAATAAAAGAACTTGATTGAAAGAAAGAGAAAAGGCAGTCTGGGCTCTCGCAAAACCCAGAACCTGAGGGATAGAGACCGGTTTTACTTTGGGCTAGGCACCTCTGCGAGCCTCAGTTTCCTCCTCTGTGAAACGGGACTAATGACAGGGATACCTGGGTGGCTCAGTGCATTAAGCAGCTGCCTTCGGCTCAGGTCGTGATCCTGGGATCTTGGGATCGAGTCCCACATCCGGCCTCTGGCTCAGCAGAGAGCCTGCTTCTCCCTCCCACTCTGCCTGCTGCTCTCCCTGCTTGCACTCTCCCTCTCTTTTAAATGAATTAAAAAAAAAAAAAAACCTTAAAAAAATGGGGCTAACAACAGGTAATGAGAACCGAAGCTACCTCATGGGATTGTGGGCACAGAGTTCCCTTCTATAAATGGGCACTTTGGTGTTTACGGCTGAGGGCCACAGAGTAGTGTTGGAGGAAGTCAGACTACTTCCTGTCCTGGAGTGCAAGAACACATCTTCTGCCCCAGGTACCCAGCACATACAGTTTGGGGGCTCTTTCCTCTGTCCCTTCCCTGCCAGAGCAATAGGGCATGCGCAGCCCCTGCACCTTTGTCACCCGCCCCTGGAGGGTGCTGTGCAGTCGCTGCTGGGCGCAGAGCCTGGTGACCATCAAGTGCCTGCCCCAGTCTTCTCTCCAAAGACAAAGAAACAAGCAAATCCCAAATCACCAGCAGGGGTCCCAGCGTAAACAGGGGCACTAGCCTTCCTGAAAATGTCCCCACAGTCGTGAAAACGTTCACATGCTGTCACCACCAGTAATTCCATCTCGAAGCCCCACTTCGAGAAGGAATCCAACATGGGGGAGGGAAACCAGGATGTAGTGAGCCGTTTGGATCTCTCTTGGCACACATTTCGTCCATGCGATGCAAAAACTCTGGGACGAACACAAACCCAAACGTAAATATTGTCGTCTAAATTTTCATTGTGGCTTGTAATCCGCTTGTCTGGTATTCTCTGTCCTGTGGCTAATAACCTTAGAAACAGAACAAGCAAACCAATGCACTAGTCTCAAATGCATAAAAAGCTCTTTAAAGATGGAAAATGTGCTTGCTCCGCCCTGTGTCCCCTGTGAGGCGGTGACCCCTTTCCAGAGCTGTCCTTCCCCGCCTGTGACTCTACCCTCGGTCCCCCGGGTCCAGAAGCTTTGTGGTCATCACAAAACTCTTGTCTATATTGCAAAGAGTGTTAGAGAGCTTCTTAACCCTTTTTTCACACCGTAGAAGGACTGAGCTTGAGATACGGGGGGGGGGTCATGGGGGGCATATGGAAATCAGAAGGAGTCCTCAGAGGAGAGGTGAGGGGCTAGACAGCATCCTAAAATGGCCCCGTGATTCTCACCCCAGGATAGTCTCCTCTCCTTGTGTGAGTGTGGGTGCAAACTCCGACTCGCTTTTCACCAAAAATGAAAGAAGTTAGCCGATTTAATTAAGGTCCCTAATCAGATGACTTGACTTGATCGAAAGGGAGATTGATTATCCTGGGTGGGCCTGACCTAAGCAGGTGAGCCCTTTAAAGGAGAGTTGGGTCTTCCCCGAAAGAAGGGATTCAGAGCACCGGGATGCTCTCCTGTCTGCCGGCCTTATCACCCAATAGCCCTGCGGCAGACTGCCTGTGGAGGGGCGGCCCCCAGCAGCAGAGGGCGTCGGTCTTAAAACTGACTGCACAGAACAGGCTCTGCCCAATTTGAATGAGCTTGACAGGACACTGAGCTCCAGGTGCAGCCTCAGCCCAAAGGCCTCTTTGACTGCAGCTTGGTGAGACCCTGAACAGAGGACCCAGTCAGGCTGGGCCCTGACTCCTGACCTATAGAAACTGTAAGATCACAAGTGGGTGTTGTTTTAAGCTGTTACATTTGTGGCAACTTGTTACACATCATAGGAAAGACTACAGGTGGAGAAGGAGCTTGGCTGTCCACCTTGAGCTTGGCCTTCCTCTGCCCATGGCGTACCCGACAACCCCAGACCCACTACAGAGGAGACACAAAGCCTTTGCTCAAATTATTTTTCAAGCCACAGGGAGATCCTCCTGTCTTACCTCCTTTCAGGCATTCTGCACAAACTGGCAGATTTCTTGCCCTAAAACCCAGCCTTGATCTTGCCTCCCGCCGCCACCATCTAAAGCCTCCTGTGGCTCCCGAGGGCTCTCTCTCGGCAACATTCCATCATCCAGGCCAGGTGTTTGAGGCTCCACCATCTGGCCCGGCTCTCCCTGTCTAGCCTCAATCCCCCCTTACCCCCTGCCCCAGACTCTCCAGATAATCCCGCTAGACAGTCCCTTTTCCCTGCCACGCTCCTTCCTCAGGCTCTTCCCCTGTGGCCTTGAACATGCATTCCAAAAAGGGTCAAGTTTTTAAAAAAACGAAGCCAAATTCTAGATAGTCAGCAGATAGCTCTGCATGTCTGGGGGAGTTGTGTGTAGCTTGAAAGAGAATAATTCAATGTTATAATTTTATATTTGGAAATGGGAAGAAAACTCTCTTGTTTTCATAATTCACATTCTAAAAAGTGAAGTTCCTCAGAATCTTCTTGGCAGGCACAGATACCAAGAAGGGCGACCTTTCTCCCTGGGATGGCCATGTGGCAGGCATTCCAAGGAGCAGAGATGAAACACATGACCACAATCTCTTTTGGAGATAAATACATGCACACACACTGATACATAGTGTATATTTTATCTATGCATATTAAATACATATAAGTGTTATGTGCATTTAAATGCATATTATGTATCTAATATGCATAGATTCCTGAATACATTATGCCAATTACCTATCATATGCAAATGCATAATACGCATTGTTAAAAAATCTGGAAAGTAATCAACCATAACGTGAACAGTGATTTTGTCAGGGACGTGGGATTGTGGGTGCTCTCTGGTCCTTGTATATATACTTGTAAATTTCCCAACATGGGTCCTAAAACTTGACAAAACTCTTTTTAAAGTCCCATCCAAACTGGAACCATTTTTTTGGAGGACAACATATACCACAAACCTTAAACATATGCCCTTCACTCAGTAATTCTCCTCCCAGAAACGGACCTTCGAGAAATGGACGTGCACAGAGATTTCTGCTCAAAGATACCTGTGAAGGCATTGCTCATGCTGATGCAGCCTGGAAAATTAATTTCTCCAACAGTAAGGGCAGATTAAATAAATGATGAGGTTATCCAGGATGATGGAATACCAGCGAGCTGTTAAAATTCGCGTTATTGACCATCAAGAGCCCCAGGAGGAAGGGCAGAGGTGCCATTAAGGAAAATCTCGAGCGATGACAAAGGAGCCAGTCTGACCTGTTGGTGGCAAGCCCGTGAGCCACAGATGCCACTGTGAGCCATTGATGCCACCCACACCCATGATACACCGTGTCCCCAGTGCCGAGAAACCCTTCCCAAACACTTTTTGTCGTGAAATTCCACACTGGGTAAGAGCCGTCCTGAGTCTCCATCTCTGTTACATGTACACACACACACACAGACACACATTCATTTTACACACCATTCGTTCACTTCGTAGAGACCTCCTAGGAGCCAGGTGCTTTTCCCAGACCTGGGGACACGGGCAGAGCAGGAAACAGCAGGGACCCGAACCCCCGATTCCCAGAGGTGCACAGTCCGGAGGAAGAAACCAACAGTGAAGACCCGGGGCCTGGGTGTACAGCCGCGGGGACAGCTGCCAGGAGACAGCTCCCAGCCCGCGCTGCATCCTGGACTGTGTCCACCCAGGGAGCAGGACCAGAAGCAGAACAGGCTTCTGGGTGTCCTTTTCCCCTGCAAACCCCTGCAGCTCCTGCCAGCTGCCCCTTCACAGCACCCGGGCGGGCCCCTCCCTGCTCTCCACTCACACCTGCCTCGGCCCTGGGCCCTCCCGCTCCGGGTGGCGGGCAGGGTGCTGTCCATGGCACTTGGGGAGCAAGGGCCACTGCCCGTCAACTCCACTCTGCTGGCTTTCTCGGAGATCCTCTTAGGACACAGACCCACCTACACTGATCCCCCTCTAATGTCCCCAACATGGCCCCAAAGCCTCAGGTGAGCCCCACCCACAAGACCCCAAGAGACTGAGCTCTGCTCAGCTTTGCCGCCCAGTTTCTTCAGCTTGGATAACCCCCCCAAAAACAAATCCATCTAATCTCCATTCTCAGGTCAGTGGCTGCCTCCCCCTGGGAGCCCCCCGCTCATGCTCCCACTGCCCAATCTCCCCCATTAGGGTGCTGGCACTGGGGTTGTCACTGCTGTCCCTGTGTCCCCCCACACTGTTTCCGCCCCCGCGGCCACACCACAGCCAAGAGGATCCCACAGAGGTGGGTGAATGTTGGGACACGGCACGGGGGCTCCGCGGGACCACCCGCTTCACGCAGGTCCCCAGTTTACAAGGTTCCCGTGGGTGTCGGATGCCCTCCCCACCCAGCCCAGCGCTGAGCACGGTGTCCCCCCATCCCCTCCTTCTCAGGGAGGGAAAACACTACAGTATAAAAACACATACTGGGTCTCTGGCCTTAACCGTATCCCGGCTCAGGAACGCTGGGTAAGCGACTCCTCCTCCCTGTGCTGTACGTCCCTCTTCAAAAACCAGTAAAGCCTCCCTGCTTGGATCTGTTTAAGGATCAAGTGAAAAAAGACGCTCGGTACCGCCCCCGACCAAGGCTTAGCAAGCGAGCCGAGCCTCTCCATCCCGCTCCAAGCGCGCGCGGCCGCCTGAGACTAGACGCTCATCTCGCCACCAGGGGGCAGTGTTATCCACCCCAGCTCTGCGCGCGGAGCGCGGGGGGCAGGGAGAGCTGGGGATCGCTAGTGAGGCCCGGGGTCCCCTTGGGCCCCATGAGGCCCCCACCCAACAGGCCCATCAGTCCCGTAGGGCAGAAGTTCAGGGGCTGCTGGCGGCTGAGAGGGAGACGTGCCCAGGGGCTTCCCCAGATCCTGGGGAGAAGGGGCGGCAGTTGGGAAAAGGAGGCCGCCGGGGACGGTGGTCAGAGTGAGGGTTTCAGAAACTGACCCACTCTAATAAAACGATCCAGCGAAAATGGCCAACCTGGGGCGGCGGGGTGGACCCCAGGAACAGGCAGCCAAGATGTCACAAGGTGGTGGCCGAGCCGGACAGACACTGCATTTAATGACTGAAAACCACACCGATCTCAGAACGGGAGTCTAGGAGACACACACGCGGATGCCCATTTGTGGTTTTCAAACCTTGCAGATACTGAGGGAGCCAGAAGGTTCCTTTTAGCGGTTGGTCCTTTAAGCCCCATTGTTCTTGCTTGACAGCCGTTAGGAAAAGCGAATTGTCCTGGGGCGCCTCCTATGGGCACCTGCACTTAGGAGAGCCCAATTCACTAAAGCAATGGGGACGCAGCGCAGGCCGTGTGGACCGGACACAAAGGAACATAAGCCCTCCCCCACCTCACTAAACTCCCACCCTAAAAGCCATTGCAAAACCACACCCTACCCTGGGCCCTGCTTCTAGAGGGAACAGGCAGGGCCTCCCAGGCCTGGCCATCACTGGGACACAGGGGAGCTTTTTAAAGACCCAGATGTCCAGTACCCCCTCCCCCCTGGAACAAGCAGAACCGGGGTCTTTGGGGTGAATCTAAGAAATCTGCCTTTATTATAGGCCTGGATCTGGCGGGTCCTTTAGTTTAGAAACCTGGGCTGAGTCTCTGGTCACTCTTAGCGACAAAGATGAAACGTGGTTTTTAATGCTCTGGTATTAGAGTATGATGGAGTTTCTATCCATCTTGACATCTCCACATGGTCCAATCAGCTACTCCCCCCCCCCCACGAAATCCAAGAGGCACACGTGCACACACACGTACGTGCACACACTTCTGCAAACACACCCAGGCCCACGGTGCCCAGCATCCCAGGTTCAGCGGGTCGCCAAGAAGCCAGGTCCCCGGGGCCTAGCGCAATCTCGAAGAGACACCCAGTCCCCCAGGTACAGTCACTGCGGCTCGGGGCCAGCTTTCTGGTGGCCGAGGAGGCATCGGCTGCAGGTCACAGGTGGCGGGCTGCTTCCCAGATGATCTGCAGGGCCATGGAGGCGCAGGGCAGCTGGGCCACGGTGTAGGCCAGGGAGCGGGTGGGCGCCCGCAGCTTCCCCAGGTAGGCCACAGTGTGCACCACGCGGCCCAGAAAGAAGACGAGGAAGTGCATGTGGGCGATGAAGGGGTCAGGCCCCAGGACGGAGTAGACGAAGCCCAGGAACAGGAAGGGGTAGATGGTCTCCATGTCATTCCGGTGGGCTCTGGGAAGGCAAGGAGAGGCAGTCAGCCAGGGGTCTGCCGGGGCTCCCTGCCCTGGAAGGCCCCCTCCCCCACCAGTGGGGGATCGTCTCAGGATGCAAGACTCAAGTCCGTTCACGGCCAGGACGAAGAGACACCACAGAGGCAGGAGAGACAGCGGCTGAGGAGAGGGGACCCCACTCGGGGCCAGTAGCCACCACAGGCTGCAGGCTGGGGTTTTCGTGACAAGCCCTAGGGCTCCCCAGGACAGGGCCCTGGCCACGTGCCCCACCCTCTCCCCCTCTGGCCTTGGACACCAGGTGGGAAAAGTGGGGCTCCCAGGGGTTGAGAGCTGGGGCGGTCAGAGCTTAGGTCAGACTCGAACCCATGCCCTTTACCACCAGGGCAGGCTTCTCTGAGGGAACCCCCCTTCTGTGTGCAGGTGCCTGGGCCCTCCTGAGTGGCATGGGTTTGAGCCTAAGAGCATGTGTCTGGAACCCTTGCCTGCCTGTCTTAGTCTCCCCTAAACCCCAGCAAACCCTCCTTCCTCTCTCAAGGATCATGATAACAGAGCTGTAGGCGCTCTCTGGAGCCGACCAATCGCTGGGCACCGGTGAAGCTCTTCCTTTCATCCATGCTCTCCTGCTTCCTCCTCGCTGTGTTTTGTTTAAAACGATCAAGTGTGTGAGTCTGTGCGGCAGTGCGGGGTCGGGGGTAGTGGAAGGGCTGTGTATAACCCCGGCCATAAATAAATGACCAAGAAAGAAAACTCAGCTTCTGCTTCTGCTAAGAGTTGGTTCACATTTTCCATGACTCCTGCTAATGGGCAGCTTCCTTGGGGCGAGGTGGGAAGGTCAAGTCCAGTAAATTAGAGACTGAGCCAGAGACGGATGGCCTGTTCGAAGGATAAACAAGATCCCGGCACCAGGGCTGTGACCTCCCCCAAGGCCAGGCCACACATGTGGAGGCATGAGGACTCTGTTGGGACCAAAGCCCCTTCTTCAGGCTCTTCCAGCTGGAAGGCTGCTCACCGAGGCTGTGCCAGGAGGCCAGGCCCGGGCCCAGCAGCTCCTGCGTGCAGAGCCCAGCCACACTGTCCTCCGCTTCCCTCCCACTTGCAAGGGCTGACCTGGGGCGTAGGGAATGGGGTGGGCTACGCAGGGCAGCGAAGGAGGCCTTCACTGGCAGCCCCGTGCCAGAGGGGTCTCAGCCTTGTGACTGGGGCAGAGACCAGGGAGGAGACATTTGCACCAAAGCCTGAAGGATAAGGGGTCATCCACAGGCTGCCCCTGCAGCGGAAGAAATTTCCAGGGAGGGAAACTGGCAAGTGCAAAGGTGGGGATGAGCGTAGGGTGTCTGAGACACAGTTAAGTGACCCAAGTGTCCAGAGCGTGGTGGCATAAGAGGGAGCAAGGCAGGATGGGAGCAGGAGAGGGGTCTGGTGGGCTGGGCTCTGGAGCTGGGGGTTCAGTCAGAGTGGACACAAGCTTCCGTGAACCCGGGGGAGCCTGGATCTTCCTTAGGCCAAACTCAGGACACGGCAGTTAGCGTCTGTCCCCACATTTTGGAGCCAACACGAGCCCTTCTTTTCTGAATCTCCACCATGGGGGCCTGGAAAGCAAGTCTGCACCAGGCAGGTCTCCCCGGGCTGGGGGGAAGGCCGCTGCTCCCCCGTGCTCAAGAGCGGGAGGCCTGGGAAGGGACAAGAGGAGGAGACTGGGCTTGGGGGGGTCCCACTCCCTGAACAAGCAAATAACTCAGCTTACTTGTGAGGTACAAATGAGGGAGGATACTGCGGGGTTTCCTCTAAAACCACTCTACCCTATGGGAATGGGGCTTGGTATCCCAACATTCCCCCAAACATGGTTGGAGGGACACCCTTGGAAAACCTACTTTAAATGGAGTTTGTGGGGTGCTTGGGTGGCTCAGTGGGTTAAAGCCTCTGCTTTCGGCTCAGGTCATGGTCTCAGGGTCCTGGGATGGAGCCCCGCATCGGGCTCTCTGCTCAGCAGGGAGCCTGCTTCCCCCTCTCTCTGCCTGCCTCTCTGCCTGCTTGTGATCTCTGCCTGTCAAATAAATAAATGAATAAAACCTTAAAAAAAAAAATGGAGTTTGTGTGTCCCAGAATGTGGTCTGCTTACCACTGGGGACCCACCTGGATGAATATTTTTGTCACACAAAGTTTCAGGGAAAGTCTCACTACCAGATGAATCCCATTCATTTAGATGCTTTTCTTTAAAATAAAAAAACTGACCAGTGAGTCAGTTTTTGGAAGGCTGTTCACAGAGTCATCACCAAACCCCATGGAGCAGATGGAGAGGAGGGTAGGATGAGCAAGGTTCATGGCAGGTGGGGGACCCTGCTCTGTGCGGGGAGGCGCAGTCCCCCCAGAAAACCAAACAGTGGGGCTGAGCCCACCTCCTAGCTCCAGCTTGGGGGGTACGGGACAGAGGGTTCCACGGTCACCAGCGAGTGGGGAAAGGTGGCTGGACTAGGGAAGCTGTGAGGCTCTGACTCCCAGTGCCCAGCGCTGGCCCAGCTGTCGTCCCTCCTCCCTTGGGTAGGTCCCAAACCACAGTGGGGGGCCCCCACCCCCCGCGAAGCCACCAGTGGGGCCAAAGGCAGGGAGCTGTGGGGAAATCGAAGGTGAGGCAAGAGAACTCCTTCCCCTCCCTCGGGCCCGGATATGTTCTGACAGACATGGAAGGAGTCACGTACCAGAGAGATGCTTGGGCAAAACGTGTCATTCCAATAATAACTGCTTTTTCAAATAAAAGTCACCCAAAGCCAATCCCCACTGCGAGACTGGGCTTGCCGGGACTTCTGGCGGCTCCAGGCTGCCCCACCCCCTCCCCGGACATTGCAGCCACCAGCGGCACGGGTGCAGGTGGCCGGTGGGGAGAGGGAGACCCCGGCTGGCAGGGACAGCTGCAGTCCGTCCTCTTCCCTGGCTCTCCCTGCCACCCACAAGGGCCGTGTCCGTGAATTCAGGTCCACGGTTGCTCCATCTCAAAGGCAGGTAATAAAGTGAAGTAAACTCTCGTCCCTGCAGAGCCCGGGCTCAGAGGGCCTGGGAAACCAGCTCAGCCACCAGACTCAACAGCACCCTCCTGGGGAGGCGGCTTGGGGCCCTGGGGGTTGGCATCTACAAAGTGCTTGGAATACTGCTGTCCCCAAGGGGCTGTGTCTCTGATTCACCTGCCATCTTCCTTGACACCCTCACTGCCATCACCAGCCTCGTCTTGGACACGACTGGTAATGCTCATCTTACCGTCTCGGTTTTGCCAGCCATCCCGCCACCCCCCGGGGCTGGAGCCTGTGGTTCTGTCTGCCATTGACCTGCTCCTGGGCCTTGGGGCACTGTCCACAAGGTGTGAAATGAGGGACACCTGGGTGGCTCAATGGGGTAAGCCGCTGCCTTCAGCTCAGGTCGTGATCCCAGGGTCCTGGGATCAAGTCCCACATCAGGCTCCTTGCTTGGCAGGGAGCCTGCTTCTCTCTCTGCCTCTGCCTGCCACTCTGCCTGCTTGTGCACGCTCTCGCTCTCTGACAAATAAATATTTTTTTTAAAAAAAGATGCAAAATGAATGTGTTGGATGACATCTACGGGACTTCCAGACTGCAACTTGGGGACCCGTCTCCCGACAAACTGCTTCAGTGGGATCTGGGCTGCACCCCACCAGTAGTCAGAAACATAGCAAAGCGTGGGTCAAGTGTGTGTCTTCCTTCTTTGGGGCCACTCAGATACTTCCTTGCTGCAGTTTTGAGCGCAGACTCGGGATGTGGCCTGAATACGCATCACTAGGAGACTCGGATAGGTATCGCGGAAGAAGGTTTGGTTTGCCCGGAAACCTGGTTCCTGACTTCTCCCAGAGCTGAGCTCAAGAATCCACTCTGGCCGGCTACTAACCTGAGAGGAAGATTTATCCTCCAAGAACCAAGACCTGAGGGCTTTCTTATTTGTGCGGAAGGGTGATCCTCACCGTGAACTCTGGTCTAATATTTAACCAAGTCCCACTTCCAGGGCTTGTGGCCTCAGGTTCCAGCCAGTTCTCCGGTATTGGGTAATGAGATGCGTGACCGTTCGGAGCTGTGCACCCCTGAGGCGCTGCGATGTTATGTGACGTCAGGGGGGAAGGGGAGGAGGAGCCCCAGGGGACCAGGAACCCCCAGGTCTGGCATGCTTAGTGCCCAATAAATACCGTCACGTGGCAGTTTCCCCTCCCGATAAACTCTTGCCAAGTGGATATAAAACATTATTTGGTAAGACCTTCTCAAAAAGTGAATTGAATTCCAGCCCTTTGAGCATCAAGACTGTAGACAGTGGGACACTTTGATCAGAAGAAAAAATTGTATCACGTAGATGGAAACATCTCAACCCCCCCCCCCCGCCCCCGTGGGTCTGTGGTCTCTCCCTGGCTTGGTTACAGCCACTGAAAGAAACCAAGTGTTTGGAAGCTCATGTAACCACTCCAATGTCACAAGTAAGCTCTGCTACATAGAATCCCGGAATCCTGTGAGAAGCTGGGCACACCCCCTCCGTGGCAGCCAAGAACCGGCTGGGGCTACCCACTGTCGCAGCAGCCTGCTGCCTCAAGGACACTCGGGTCCTTCTCCTCTGCCCCGGAGAGTCAAGCCCACCAGGGGGAGGCTGGGGTACGGGTCACCAGGATAGATTTGTGCATGGGTAAGGCTTTAGTCCGCTAATGTACAAGCAGCGCCTTGCACACAGTAAGTGCTCATTACCTGTCAGATGGACGGACGGATGGACCTCACAGGAAGTACTAGACACTGTAGTTACATTGGAAAGGGTGGAACAGGGGCGCCTGGATGGCTCAGTCGATTGCACATCTGCCTTTGGCTCAGGTCATGATCTCAGGATCCTGGGATCAAACCCCGTATGGGGTTCCCTGCTCAGTAGGAAGTCAGCTTCTCCTTCTCCCTCTGCCCTACCCCTGCCTGCCCTCTGTCCCTCTCTAAAAAAAAAAATCTTAAAAAAAAAAGGGTGGAACGATAAAGAATTTTACTTCCTCCATTTACTTTACACATTTCTGTAATTTTTTAAAACCACAAGTATGTAATTATTTTCAATGGCTAAGACAACTAAAAGAGAAAAAAAAAAACCACTCTCCTTCAATAGAAGAATCTCTATTATTCATACCACAGAGTCCCACCCATCTCTGCCCATGATGCAGGGGAATGCACTGAGAAGTGTGTGATGTTTGTCTCCTGTCTCCCTCTTGTGCAGCTGTGCATCCTCCCACGACTCCCCCCAGCTCCACAGACAGTCCCTCTCCCCTGGAAATGCTGCCTCCTCACTCTTCAGCCCGCCGGTGTGAACTAGAGTCAACTGCCAAAAATAGACCATTCGGATGGGCGACATGAAATTAACATCGAGCCTCCTCCGATGGGATTTTTGTGCATCTGTTTCTAAAGAACCATTTCTTTTTTTTTTTTTTTTAAGATTTTATTTATTTATTTGAGAGAGAGACAGTGAGAGAGAGCATGAGCAAGGAGAAGGTCAGAGAGAGAAGCAGACTCCCCGTGGAGCTGGAAGCCCGATGCGGGACTCGATCCCGGGACGCCAGGATCATGACCTGAGCCGAAGGCAGTTGTCCAACCAACTGAGCCACCCAGGCGTCCCCTAAAGAACCATTTCTTGAGTAACATTTACTGACCTAGAAAATGCTCACCAAATAATATTAACTGAAAAAAAATCACAACCCCAAATTGGGTAAACGATGCATACCTAATTTTATGAAAAACATTGACAAAGAGAATCTGGGTGAAAATAGTGTTAGATGTCAGCAGGGATTAGAATTGGGACCGGTCTCCCTTTTTCCCTCTGGGGGTTTGCAACAGGACTCAAATTGTCTGTAATGGTCAGCAGTTCTGACTTTTATAAGGAGGAACATTGTTTTTGATCGACTGGGGTATGCTAGGCATACCAAGTGATATGTTCAACTTCATTCAAATAAAAGAAATGCAAAGGAAAAACAAAACGTGACGTGGGGACATTTTCGCCCATCGCCCTGGCAGTGTCCCCCTCCCAAGGGGAAGCTTGGAGGCAGCAGGGGGAGGGGAGACCTTTCCCACACCAGCGGTGGAAGAGGATTTGTGAACCACTCGGCAGTATTTCTTACCGCTCTAATGCATCCTGCGGTTTGGCTCACACACACACGCGAAGGCAAAGGGACAGGTTTGGACGCCCTCTGTTCATAACCAAGAAAGACGGGAGACCAGACTAAATGCCCATCGGAGGGGAACGGGTCAGACAGCTAAGGGCGATCTGCCTGAATCCTACAGCGCTGAGCCCGTGGGCTAGACCCCGCTGGAAGCAGATGGGGAACAACCCCGTGAATGGACCAGTGGGTGAAGGCTGACCCTTTGGGGGCGCTGGGAAGGTGCAGAGACTGGCGTTGGCTATCAGAGAGTAGAGCTGGGTAGGGCTGGGTAGGGCCCGGAGGTCAGAGGCAAGGGGCGGAGAGATGGAGTCCTCACTGAGCAGCCCTCTCCAGCTCTGGAATCCTGAGTCATGGACGTGTGTCACTTTTCCACAACTGATTAGAAATTTGATCCAGAACTGTCTGAGGGGCTCAGGAAGGCGGAAGACCTGGGTCCTCTGGGTATCCCCCAGGTCCTGTGGTTCAGAGCTGGGCCTGCAGGGGGCACACCATGGCCAGGCTGAGGTCTAGCAGTACTTGCCTGAGGCAGCGATCCACGTCCTGGTCACTCCGGCAGTACTGGAGACCTCCGTGTCTCAGGGCATCCTCAGGGTTGGCAAAAGCCTGGAATATATCAGCCGAGAATGACTGCTGGTGCTCCCGCTATGTGCCAAGAGCTGGCACCCGCCGCGAATAGGGTTTCTGTGGCCTGAATGTTTGTGTGCTCCGCAAACTCGTATATTGAAAGATACACTCCAAGGAGACAGCATTAGGAGGTTGGGGGGGGGGGTCTCTGTGGGGTGATGAGGTCATTGGGATGGAGCCCTCATGAATGGGATTAGTGCCCATTACTGGGATGGAGCCCTCATGAATGGGATTAGTGCCCATTAAAAGAGACGCCCCCATAAAGCTCCCTTGCCCCTTCCGACATGCGAGGACAGAGTGAGAAGATGGCTATCTGTGAACCCAGAAGTGGGCCCTCACCAGACTCAGAATCTGCTGGCACCTTGGTCTTGGGACTTCCCAGACTCCAGGACTGTGAGAAATAAATCTGTTATTTACAAGCCCCCCCCCAGTCCAAATTATGTTGTTACAGCAGCCAGAATAGACTAAGGCAAAGGCCCTCCTGCCCCTGCTCTTGGGAAATCACAGTCTGGTCAGGGAATTGCCTATGAACAAGGGAAGAAAAAAGAGAAGACAAAGTTGGCCTTGAGAATGTTCACAGGAGACCTGACCAAGTCTGGGGGTCAGAAGGCTTCTCTGAGGCAGGGACATTAAAAATGAGCTTTGAAGGATGCAACAATATTAAGCAGATGAAGGCAGGGTTGGAGAAATAGCACTGAAGGTATGCAGAACAGCATGTGCAAAGTCCCTGGGGTCAGAAAAAGACAGGCATGTTTGAAGAAAAGAGAACCAGTGTGGCTGGAGTATAGAGAACAAGGCACAGAGGCCCAAGATGAACTTGCTGGGGTCCTAGAGGCACGCTAAGAATTTGGACTTTGAACTAAGGGAAATGAAAGGGTTTGATAGTCGAGGGCAGAGAACCCCAGGTCTGTACTGACTAGCTGCACATTTCGTTTAAAGAATTATTTGAGAGAGAGCAAGCACGTGTGCATGTGTGTGTGTGTGTGTGTGGCAGGTGTGAGGGGATGGGCAGAAGGGGAGAGAGAGAATCCCAAGCAGACTCCACCAAGCATGGAACCCAAGGTGGGGCTCAATGTCACGACCCCAAGATCATGTCCTGAGCCAAAAATCAAGAGTCAGATGCTCAACCAACTGAGCCACGCAGGCGCCCCTAGCTGCTCATTTCTGAACTTCCCTGAGCCTCAGCTACTCCTCTGGGAACTCTGAATCAAAGGGAGCTTGTCTCGACCTGCGCGACAAATCGACCACGAACGTGAGGGTAAGAGGATGGTGAAAAGAACTTAAGAGACAAAGAGATGGGGGCAGGAGGAGCACTGAGGAGGATGTCCAACAGCGCTAAGTTTATTCAAAGCACTAAGGCCATATATATAGTGATAATAGAAGCAATACACCTGTGTCTAGTTAAACAACCACGAGTTCCCATAATAAGTTTCACGTTTAACTATAAGCAGACCTCGTGACGCCAAATGGCTGATGCCAGTACAATTGTTCTGTATTGATACAGCAAACCTGAAGGTCATTTATGGGCTGTACTAGGGCAGCAAGGACCAGCAACGAACTTTTGACCCCAACCGAATTGGTCTCATCTGTTTAGCAGGCGTGTGGGAAGTCACGTAGGCGAGCACACAACGCACAGCACAGACCCTTTCTCAGTGCTACTCAACTTTTCCGTCCTAAACCTTCTGTTAGGTTATTTGGACTTTAAAGGAGGCACAAGTCAGGGCCTGGTTTGGTCCTCATCTCAAGCCTTATTGCGGCCTCCCACAGGAGCTCATTTCCTATGTAGAGAGTGAAGGAGAGAACTGGAGAGGCCTTTGCACGATGCTTTTGCACGATGCCCGGCACCAGGAGGGCACCTAAATGGTCTGTGGACGGCAGAGACTTAAGTTCACACTTCAGTCACCAGAGGCAGGCCCACGCCCCGCTCTCATGCGCCTCTGACCACAAGCCTGGATCTCAGCAGCAGGCTTTCTGCCGTGCTAGTCTGATGGCCACTCCTGCCGTCTCTGACTCATGAGACCTGGGGCCCTCGGCCCCTGAGTGCTGCTTTGTCCCTCCCCACCCCCCACTGGGGCTGCCCCTGCCCCAACCCAGAAGTGAATGAGAATCAGAGCCCCGTGCCCAGAATTCCTCTCCAAGGGCCCTTCAGTCCTGGAATCACCGATCTGGATGGCTCAGCACTGGTTCCCTTCGATGGGGGTCCTAGCATTCCGCAGGGAGCTTTCTTGGAGTTCAGGGTCCATGGTGGGGGGGGTGGGGCAGGGCTCTGGACGCTCTCCCACGAAGGAGCATGCGGCTTCTACCCCCAACTATTAATAAGTAATGAGAACTAACATTGCTGATCTGTCCTACAGCCAGGCCCCGCCTTCCCCCGGCACTACCCTGACGTCCCTGGTGACAGATGAGGAAACTGAGCTCCCAGACTTCCCAAGGCCCAAAGCCGGTGGGCGGAGGAGCCCGGGGGCCCCCACCCAAGCCCTTCCAAGGTGTGACTCCCTGGCTCTCTCCTGGTTGACAATACAAAAGCAGAAACCAGAGGGAAACTGGCTTCCTCCGCTCCTCCCCAGCCACCAGGGAGAAAGGGCTCCTGTGGTCTCTCTCTCTCTCTGAAGTTACATTAAAAAGGAAGCTCTGGGCGCCTATTCCCAGCTGTGGAGAACTCTATCCACTTCCCCACCCCGGGGCAGGTTGTGGAGCAGGTCCCCCCCCCCCACCCCCCCCGCTTCAAACCCTGCTTTGTAGCCTTCACAGGGAAGGTCTCTCAACCCAGAGTCCTGGCCTGGAAAACAAGGTGAATGTCATTCCTGCCTCCTCCCCCAGAGTCACGGTGGGGATTGAGCTCTCAGCTCTAAGGAGGGACTTGGGGACTCAATGGGTGAACGCAGCTGTCCCCGTGGGGTGCCTGAACTCCAACATCCAGGATGGACCTAGGCAGGGGGAAGGCAGGGGCCATCTGTGGGCCTGTGCCTCCGGACGTCATCTCCCCCCATAGCTGCTTGGCTGCAGCCCGCCTGCACCTGTGGCAGGGGCTGGGTCTGAGTCCCCAGCAGGATCCCGGCGCCTGGGTGTCCAACCCACCCCCCACGCAATGCCAGAGCCAGCCTTGCCTTGCCTTGGAACTGAACAAAGGGGGACAAAGGGACACAGTTTCTGGAAACGAGTCTTCTACTGAGTAACAGGACAGAGGCCAGCTTGGCCTGAAACTTCTCGGGCTCTGGCTGTCCAATGTGAGAGCGGAGTTGATCTCTGAATGGGCCATCCCGCCCAGCGGCCCCCCAGGGCTCAAACCTCAGCCTCTGTATTGTTGTTCTGGCTCTGGGATTTGGATCCCTGCGGGGGAAACTCCTCCTTGAAAATTCCAATGGAGGAGCCTCTGGGTGGCTCAGTTGGTTGAGCATGGGACTGGCTCGGGTTGTGATCTCAGGGTCCTGGGACCCAAGAACCCTGGGCTGGCTCAGCGGGGGATGGGCCTCGCCTACTCCCTCTGCCCCTTCCCCACTCATTCTCATTGTCATTCTCTCTCTCTCTCTCTCTCCCCCTCCCTCTCTCTCAGATAAATAGATAAAATCTTTTAAAAAAGAAAATTCCAGTGGAGTCTGGCCGAAACCCGGCCCCTGGAGGCTGTAGAGGATTTGGAAGCGCCCTTGCCCCTGGAGGCTGTAAGAGGATTTGGAAGCGCCCTTGCCAGTGAATTGGGAATTTCCACTTGAGGGTTTCTCGGACTCCTTTGTCGCTAGTTCCCACTCCACCCAAATACCCAAATATCAGATCTCCTGTGCTGGGAAACTGCCAGCTCGGAGAGAGGCTTTACGCTGTCAGGCTCCGCCCTCCCGGACCGGCTTCTCTCTAAGACCCGGTAGACATGGCGCACTCACAGCCAGAACCCACCTGGAGGCCCAGAAAGTGAGTAAATGCTCGTAAAAAAGGACAGGAAGGTGCAGGACCTGCCATCCCAAAGGACTGGGAGAGGTCCCTAGGTAGCTCCCCCCGCCCCCGCACCCCTCCCCCGTCCCTCACACTCCGGCTGGGGAAACACCCCGGCCAAGCTCCCCAGCCGCACACCTCTCCAGCAGGGCAGTGAGAAGCGCACGTGGGGATGTGGGGATCACGTGGGGATGTGGGGATCGGGGGTCCCAGGCAGCATACCTTTTTCCGAAGTCTCACTTGGCCCGTGATGACAGCCACCACGTACATCTTGATGACCAGCAGCGTGCCGCAGAGCAGGAAAGCTGGGAGCGCCTGGCCACTCACCAGCGCCAGGACAGGGGGAGGCATCCTGGAGGGCCGGCGGGATCGCTGGGGAAGACGGCAGAGCAGGCGTGCGGCTGTGGGTCCCGCAGCGGAGGAGGGGGAGAGAGCGGCCGGGAGGCCTGTCTGCGCTCACAGCACCCGCCCACTCCCGGCAAGCCCGCGGCTTCCCCCACCCCGACGCTGGAGAAGCGAAGCGAAAAGGGCGCTGCGAGGTGTCCCTGGTCCAGCCTCGCGCTCCAGATGCTCGTCTCCGGCAAACTTTTAAATGCGTTCTAATCTGTTTCCTCATCTCTGAAGTGGGGGGTTATGGCTGTGCCCGCCTTCTGGGGGTGTGACAAAGCTCGGCGCCTGGCCGCAGGCGGTCGATGTTGCTGATTTATGCCCATTTCCTAGGTCAGGGCGGGTGGTCGGCATGAGCACTGTGCCATCTGTCCCCACTCAGCCTGGACATAGGAACCGCAGCCATACCTCCCTTGACGTGACTTTGCTTTTTTGTAGTAGGTTGAATACTGGCCCCCCAAAGATGTCCACTCCCCGATCCTCAGGACCTGGGATGATGTTACCATACCCGACAAAAGGGACTTGCAGACGGAATTAAGATCTTGAGGGGCATCTGGGTGGCTCAGTGGGTGAAGCGTCTGCCTTTGGCTCCAGTTGTGATCCGGGAGTCCTAGGTTCGAGTCCCGCATTGGCTCCCTGCTCAGCAGGGAGTCTGCCTCTCCCTCTGTCCCTCACTCCGCCTTCGTGCTCTCTCTCTCTCAAATAAATAAATAGAATCTTAAAAAAATAAGAATCTTGAGATGGGGAGATCATCCTAGATTATCTGGGTGAATCCAGTTCAATCACAAGGGTCCTCCTAAGACAGAGGCAGTAGGGAGAAAAGAAAGACAGGAATAGAGGTCAGAAAGGAGAGGAGATGTTATACTGCTGGCTTCGAAGGGGAGGAGGGCCAGGACCCAAAGGATGCAGGGGACCTCTAGAAGCTGGAAAAGAAATTCTCCCCTAAAACTTCCAGAAGGAAGAAGCCTTGGGGTACCTTGACTTTTCATCCACTGACATTGATTTTGGACTGCTGGCCCGCAGAACTCCCAGATAATAAATTGGTCTTGTTTTAAGCCTTGGAAGGTGAGGTGAATGGTTACAGCCAGCACGGGAAGCTAGAGAGCACCCTTCTGTTGTGTTCTGCAGCCTCTCTGGGCAGGCATGCCTTGGAGATGTTGCGGGTTCGGTTCCCAACCACGGCAAGAAAGTGAGCGTCGCAACGAAGTGGCTCCAGTGGATTTTTTTCACTTCCCAGGCCAGGTGGAAGTTAGGTTTACACTGTACCGCCGTCTGGTAAGTGCGCAAGAGTGCTGTGTCTAAAGAAGAGGATATGTACCTTAATTTAAAAAATATTTTTAAATATTGAATTTAATTAATTTATTTGATAGAGAATGAGAGAGAGCACGAGAGCGGGGCGAGGGACAGAGGGAGAACCAGACTCCCTGCTGAGCAGGGAGCCAGATTTGGGATTCCATCCCAGGACTCCAGGACGATGACCTGAGCCGAAGGCGGACACTTAACCGACTGAGCCAGACAGGCGCCCTTAAAAAATGCTTTATTTTTTTTAAGATTTATTTATGTATTCATTCATTCATCTGAGAGAGATACAGAGAGAGCACAAGGAGGGGGAGAGGCAGAGGGAGAGGGAGAAGCAGACTCCCCTCTGAGCAGGAAGTCTGACATGGGGCTCGATCCCAGGGCTTGGGGATCACGATCCCAGCCGAAGGCAGAAGCCTGACCATCTGAGCCACCCAGGCACCCCTAAAAACATTTTATTGCTACGAAATGCGAACCATCATCCTAGCTCTCCCTGAGTCATCCTCACTGACCTGAGATCACCATACCAGACATGAGAATAATGAAAAGTTTTGAAATATCATGAGAATGACCAAAATGTGACACAGAGACGCCAAAGCAAGCAAACGCTGTTGGTAAAGTGGGGCCGACAGACTTGCTCAACAAAAGGTTGCCACAAACCTTCAATTTGTTAAAAAATAAAATAAAACAAAAAACCGTAAAACCCCATAGTATCTGCAAAGTGCAGTAAGGCAGAGCACAATGAAACGGAGAATGCCTGTCCTTTTCTGGGAGACTCCCAGGCACATGGTTTTATTATGTACAGAACTTCCCAAAAGGTCCATCAACTTTTCAACAAAAAACATAACCAGTTTGTGCTCTCAGATTCTTTGACTCTCTTGCTTCCGGATCCTCACCTGGCTGTGCCTCCTCCCCACCCCCTTTCCTGGGTTTGGGGCAGGACCTCTACAAAGGCATGAAATCTTGTCCCTTTTGTTTTGCCAGCACTTCTTGCTTTGCAAGGAGGTGCCCTGGGGTGGCGGACGGGTGGGAGGGAGAAATCAGTCTTCCGTGTCTTCTCCACCCTTGGGCCTGCCCGGAGGGACAGGAGTATCAGTCTGGGTGAGTCCTAAAGCAGCAGAGACCCAGGACTGGCGGGGGGGTTGGTTAGAGACACTGGCCAGGGGCTCTGGAACCAGACTCAGCTGACGCTGATTCCTAGAGCCAGCCCTTGGTGACGCCCGCTGTGTGATCTCGGGCAAGCAGGTTCCTTCTCTGAACGCTTTTGGTCACACCGCTGATAAGTCACTCAGAACAGCAATTGAAAGAACTGGAGGGAGTCGGGTCTAATTATTAAGCACCAGGCATAGAGTAAGCCCTCTTCTGTATGAGCCTCGGAGCCTCAGTTTCCTCCTCAAAATGGGGATAATGTTTGTGTTGCCAAGAGGGAGGCTTTTGGAAACTCCTGTCCTTGCAGCTGGGGCAGTGGGTTGGGGGTGTGGAGTGGGGTGGGGAAGGATTGCTTATCCATTGGCTATGTGCTAAGCCTTCCATTATCTGGACAAAAAAATGTGCTTGTAAACCTACCCTCATGTTTCTGAAACTTGGGGCCTCCGGCCCGGGTTGTCCCAGCCCAATAAGATAAATGAGAGGTCAGGATCAGGGACGGGTCATCGAAAGTATGAGATGTCCTAAATTATGTTTTATCTCTGCCTGTGTGTTTGAATATGGGCTACACCACTCCCAAAATTGTGGACCACGGCAGCCTAAGAGGGGACCGTGGGGACCCACCCTTCCTTGGACAGGCAGCGTGCTCTGTCCTGCTTGTTCTCCTGAAACCGGCCAGACACCTCACAGGCAGAGGCTGGGAAAACCAGTGTGGGCAAAGAGTGGATTACTATCCTCCCTTACCTGGAGCCAAAAATAAGAGGGACTTTGTGGGGAAACCCTTCCGAGTGACGTGCATGACTTCATGGTAGGAATCTTTTCCTCATCGTCTGCTGAAATGAACCAGCTATGCCAGGACCTGGCAGGGAGGACAGGCCCTTCTCTGATCTCTGGCCAAGAATTTCCCTAAAGCCTCCCACAGCCAGTGGAAGCTGCCGCTGTTGTTTTGGTGCTGCTGCTGCTGGGGGTGATCCTTCTCTCAGAGCTTTGCCTGTAAGAGAAGTGCCCCTACCCTTGCAGGGGGTGGGCCCTACTGGAGATGGTGTGTGCAACACACTGGGTGGGGATGGGGGGTGCTTGTCTGGGCCTGGCCAGGAAGCTCTAGGGAAATATGACAGGGAAGGCGAGAGAAACCCAGAGGCCGCCCTGGAGGAGGCCTCCCGGGGGGTCAGAAATGTGTTTATATCACCCCTGGGTGACGGTCATGCAGGTGAATATAGACGTAAAAATTCGGCATGATGGACCTTCAGAATTTGTGACTTTACTGTGTTACAACAAGAACAATAATCCAAAACCCACCCCAAAACCCCACAGGAGTTCTCTGGTCACAGTGTACAATTCCAGAGCCAAGAGGAGCGGCTTCGTGAGAGCCGCCAAGTGGCTCCTTCCAGCTCACCCTCCTCGGCATTTCCTGAGGATCAGAGACCAGCTCTGGGGGCTGTTTAATTGTCTGTGACTTCAGAGGAGCTTAAGAGAGAGGAGGAAGCGGCCCCACCTCGGCCACTGGCTCCTGACCTCGGTGGCTGCTGCTGGGGCTTTCTCCAGCTGGGCGTCCCCGGGCAAGGGCTGTGATAAAGTTACTGTGGCTCCAGCGACCTCTGAAGTCAGATCCCTATGGCAGGCGTCAGGGCGGCCTCGGACACGTCTCTTCACCCTGGACAAGCGGTGCTTGTGCAACGCGGCCTGCGGCCTGCGTCTGCGTCTGCGTCTGCGGAAGGGGTGCGGTGCAAACAGAGACTACTGCGGGCTTCCCGTGGGGCATACATCCCCCCCGACCCCCCAGGCCGGACCCCCTGAGGAATCCAGGAAGAGCAACTCAACGACGGACCGTTGTTCTCCTCCACCAGCCTCTTCTCCTTCCCACCTTCTACCGGGAAATCCGCAACTTTCTTTTCGGGAACTGGACCCCAGCTCGAGTGGCCAGTCCCAGAGCTCCTCTTCTCGGGATGGGGTGGCCACGTGGTCCAGGGAAGCCAATCACAATGTCCCTGGCATCGGGCCACTGGGATTGGTCCAAGCAGAGCCAATCAGAGACCTTCCCTGGGAGTTTCTATTACGCCCTGGCTGGAAAGACCCCGCTGGCTGTAGGGCCCAGTGCCGGGACTGCAGTGGCCTGAAACCACGTGCCACTGTTTCCGTTCCCTGCGCGGTGCGGGGAGCCTGCAGCAAGGCCCCAAGGCCCCAACCTCTGAGTCACCCCGGGGCCTGGGAGTTTAGGAGTTTACTACTTTGCTTAAACAAAACATCAGTCAAATCATGCTTGTCCTTGCCTCCACACTGCAGTGGCTCCCATCTCGCTCAGAGTAAAAGCCAGAGTTTGGACAATGGCCCGTGGCCCCATCCCATCTGGTCTCCATCTGGTTCTCTCCGGATTCCTTCTCCGCTCACTCAGTCAGCCTAGCCACACTGTCCTTGCTGGCCCTCATGCACACCACGCACTGTCCTTTCTCTGGGCCTTCCTGCTGGCTGGTGCCTCTGCCTGGAATTCCTGCCCCCTCCCCATCGACGCTCACCTTCAAGTCTTGGTTCTGATATGAGCTCCTCTAAGCCCCTCGACTACCTTCATCCATTCCACAGCCTGTCCCCACTCGTGGCCCTTCTGATGCCACTTCCCTGCCTCTGCT